TCTGGTGTAGCAGGTAAAGATGCCACGTGTGACACCGGCCTCCCATATAGGTGGTGATTCCAGTCCTGGCTGCTCTACTTCCAAACTAGCTCCCTAGATTCCTGGCTCCCAGCTTCATACCAGCCCAGCTCTGGCTATGGAAGATCTTTCTCTCTGTCTCTCTTTCTCTGTGACCATACCTTTCCAATTAGTTAAGTAAATCTTAAAAAACAACAAAAACACATCAAAGCCTAAATAACTAAACAGAAATATCTGTGAAACCAAATCTTAAAAGTTTATGTAGTTTAATATAAATCAGAATTACATTTTAATAGGATAAAATAATTTTCAGGTCTACTCCTATGTAATAGACCAGATATAACCATACACAAAAATACTTTTAATAACAAAGTATGAGGCTGGTGCTGCAGCTCACTAGGCTAATCCTCCACCTGAGGCACCAGCACCCCGGGTTCTAGTCCCAGTCGGGGCGCCGGATTCTGTCCTGGTTGCTCCTCTTCCAGTCCAGCTCTCTCCTGTGGCCTGGGAGGGCAGTGGAGGATGGCCCAAGTGCTTGGGCCATGCACTTGCATGGGAGACCAGGAGGAAGCACCTGGCTCCTGGCTTCGGATTGGCGCAGCGCGCCAGCCATAGCAGCCACTTAGAGGGTGAACCAACGGAAAAAGGAAGACCTTTCTCTCTGTCTCTCTCACTGTCTAACTCTGCCTGTCAAAAATAATAAAGTATGAAAAATAAAAGCAAACTGGTAGGAAAAAAGTTGTGTTGCTCTAAGACTCAAATTCAATTTCCAAAAAGAAAAACAATTAAAAGCACACCTGGAATCACTCAGATCTATGTTTGATGCCAAAAGATCACTAAACTTACAGGAAATGCCTCTAGGAGGAAATGAAGGGGAGCCAGGAGAGGCTAGCAGAGCCACCAGACAGTGATGCAGGCTTCACCTGAATGAAGAAGAGAGGGAAGGAAGGGAGGGTGAATAGAAGCACATTAGATTAGTGTGCTCTAAGTCAAGTTCAGCAAGGCTGGGGTGGGGGGAGGGAGGGCAGACACGCAAATCATCAGAGTCGTCCCAGTCTCCCAAGAATGAGCCTGCCTTAACAGTCCTGCTGTCCTCAATCACTGGCTGAGAGCAGCCCTTGGGTAGCCTGATCTCAGCTCACAGTGATGGACTTCAGAATGCAGCAGGGCCCCTCAATCAATCTGGTTCCTGCAGTTGGAAGGATAGCTAAGAGGTATATCTCATGGTAACCACATCGAGTTTCCTCTTCAGTAAAACAGGACAAAATTCTTGTCCCTAACCTCCAGGGGAAGCTGTGTGGCTCAGAGGAGGTGATATTTATTAACACTTTGTAGACTATGAAGTATGGAACATGTTTACACAAGAATCTATCCCAGTAATATGATGCGTATAGCTCTCCACTCCCTATCTCTACTCCGTTTTAATGCAACCCTGCAACAGTGAGGCCTATCAGGTGTCTAATGTGTCTTTGAGCCCCCATTCTCCTGAGCTACACAATCCAGTTACTTCCTAAGCCCAGCCCTATCTGGAAAGTGGAAATGGGAAATAGAGTCTTTGGGTCAGAGCTAAAAATGTCCACAAATAGACTGAACCAGCTGGATGCTGACACATCAATTAAGCCAAACAATGACCCACTTCATGAAGCTGGACATTCACTTCTTTGGTAACCAAGGGTCACACAGCAAGTTCTGCAACATAGTGATTATTGCGCAGACTATCAGACTTTGAGAGCACCATGTTTTATTTTTTATCTTATTTATTTTAAAGATTTATTTTATTTATTTGAAAGATGGAATTACAGAGAGAGGTAGAGCCAGACAGAAAGAGAGAGAGAGAGAGGTCTTCCATCCGCTGGTTCACTCCCCAAATGACTGCAATAGCCAGAGCTGAGCTGATCCAAAGTCAGGAGCCAGGAGCTTCTTCTGGGTCTCCCACGCAAGTGCAGGGGCCCAAGCACTTGGGCCATCTTCTACTGTTTTCCCAGGCCACAGCAGAGAACTGGATCAGAATAGGAGCAGCCAGGACATGAGCCAGCATCCATAATGGTGCTGCAGGCAGAAGCTTAGCCTATTATACCACAGCACTGGGCCTGCTAGAATTTTCTAACATATTAACATATCCTTTGAGACATATTTTATTTTCACTTATGCTCATAAAATAATTTCTAAGACTGTTAAAACTCTTAAAGAGTGACCCTTATTCAAAATAGGCCAAATGTTATTTATATCAAATGTTATTTAGATACATTTCAACTTCACAGAAACCTTGAAAGATAGGAAGCATATTTTTTCAGTATTTTATTTTGAAGATTTTTGAACATACAAAGGAGTGTAAAAGGTTGTTCAGCAAACATCCATACAATCACTACCTAGATGCTATAATTAATAATTTGCTGTATTTGCTTTAGGTATTTTATCATGATTCTCATTTTATTGTTGACTACCAAATATTAATTGTTACAAAAGTTTCACGTACTATCTTACTTCTCATTAATCTTTTTCTATTCCAGCTTTTCAACCAAGGTCCCAAAAGATTAACGCTCCCTGAAAAGAATTTGACTGTGGTTTTTTGTTTCTGAATATATTCTACAGATAAGCATCAGAAGACACAAGCTCTCTTTTTCACTGATAATTTCCTTAGCCTTTGGCCCTACCATCCCACGTGGTGCTGCTCTCCCCAGTAGACTTTAACCTCCCTTAGCTGACCTCATTCTTCTTTTCAAATGATAGTAGTAGGCCACCCACCCCAGCAGATCCATTCATCTTTATCTTGTGGACAACCACCCTGATACGTCCAGCAAGGTTCACAGGCCAGCAGCAGCAGCATATTCACAGGCCTGCAGCAAGACACCATACCTGCAGTCTCATCCAGCCCACCCACCCAAACCAAAGGAGAATCTGCAACTTCACAAGATCCCCAGATGATTCCTATGCACGTCAGACCACTATGTTGTCACCAGCCATGGTTAAAAAGGAGACCAGTAGATTTGCTGGTCCCAGTTTAAAACAAACAAACAAACAAACAAAAGCAAGCAATGACGTTTGTCTTAAGAACTCTCCTTTCCTCTCTGTTTGGATCCCCTTTGCCTCTTTACTCACTTCCTTCATAACTGCAATTCTACTGTTGCACCCCCACTCTGTTGCAGAGACTTTATGTCTAACCCTCAGAGTATTTCATAAAATGTGTGATTTCCTAATGTACAAAGCTCAGAGAATTAGTAATACACCCAAAGATAAATAACTCTGTGTGTGTGTGTGTGAGAGAGAGAGAGAGAGAGAGAGAGAGAAAGAGAGCTCCTATCTGCTGGTAAACTCCCCAGATACTCACAACGCACCAAGGCCAGGAGCCAGGAATTCAATCCAGGTCTCCCATATGGGTGGCAGGAACTCAACTCTTTGAGCTGCTTCCCAGAGTGTGCTTTGGCAGGAAGCTGGAATCAGGAACCAGAGCCAAGAATCAAATCCAGGTACTCAAATGTGGGACATGGGTTGTCTTAACCACCAGGCCAAATACCTGCTCCCAAACAACTGTAATTGTAAACATGAGCATGTCCCTTTCCAAGGCCTACTATTCTCTTCCCGATGCAAACATTGTCTTTCTCTTTTCTCTCTCTCTCTCTCTTTTTTTTTTTTTTGCCAAGAATTCCTTTTTTTTTTTTTTTTTTTTTAACAAAATAAGTCTTACCAATGGGATGGGAGGAGTAGGAGGTGAGACGGGAGTGGGGGTGGGAGGGCGGATATGGGGGGGAAGAACTACTATATTCCAAAAGCTGTACCTATGAAATTTATATTTATCAAAGAAAAGCTTTCTTAAAAATAAATTAAAAAAAATAAGTCTTACCAAAGAATGCTCTGTTCACCCCACACAGGCTGTGCAGTCCCCGGCAGGGGCGGGCACATTGTCTCTTAAGACCCTGGCATCACTCCAGCCTATACCTTGCCTATCTCAGCCTGGGTCTTAAGTTTGCCTGTCAAGGCTTCTGAGCACACATTGGCCCTAGATGCACAGAAAGTTCAGGCTAGGGAAGGTCAATTTAGGAATCATCATCTTGGGAGTGATAATTGGAGTTAGGGGTTAGGTGATATGTCAAGGGAGAAAGTTCAGAAAGAAAAGAACAGTCTAAGAAAACACTGAGGAATGACTAGATTTAGACAGCAGGCAGAAATAGACGTGGTCTGACTCCCCTATCAGCAATTTTAGCCACTACACAAGACTGTGCCATTCACTGAAATGTGCTCAACTATTACAGAGCAATTGTTAATGTCATCACTTCCCAGTCAGGGAATCATGGGCCATGTTAATGTCATCACTTCCCAGTCAGGGAATCATGGGCCAGTGTGTTCTGACAACTAGTTCCCAAACTTAGCCAGGTTAGGGCTAAGAAGTTAGTAGGTAGAGGTGATGTTAGGTAGGCAAGAAAGAGAAATAAGGTTGTTTGGGTCAGGTGTGAAAGAAAAATAGCAGCAATAGAGATGGAGGCCTTTGTGTCCTGGTAAGTTCATGGCTAACAATATGGGCTCCAGAGCCAGACTGTAGTGGCTCTGTTTCCCTATCTAGTAACTGTGCTACCTTTACCAAGTTACTTAATTCTCTGAACTTCAACTCCCTCACTTATAAATGATAATACTGAGCCTCCTCTATTTATTAATAGAGAGTATTTCTGAAAGAGCTTAGGGTAATATTTGGTAAGGACTCAGCATTAATTATGACCAAAGCAAGAAAGATAAATGAGTGCCATTTTCTATGGCTAAGATGGAAAAGAGTGGCTTTAACTTTAAATGAATGTACTAATAACACTTACAATATATTTAGATATGTGAAATATCAATAGAATAAAAAGAATGATTAGGACTACCAGCAGTACTATTAATAATTTCAGGGAATCCTATCTAGGTGAAAGTTCACAGAGGAGTATATGTCTTTGCAACACAAATTAGAGTAAAGTTCACAGCTAGGCAGAGTCCCTGAGTTACTCATCCACATCATCATGAGACCAGTAAACTTAGCACCACAGGCTACGTGTCAAATTTTAACAGGAAATGACTCAGATCTAGAGCAAAGTTAGTCCCATGCACAACGAAATGTTATGCAAGACAAAAACGACCCGTGTTAAATATCACACACAATGAGGTGATGTATTGCTCAAGAAGCTAGCAGAGGATCAATCTCTGTAAGAGGCAGATCATTGTCTCACTTGGGAAAAGGCTTTCCATTGCTACACATAGACATGGTCACCTTCTGAGTTACTACCCGAAATGCATTTACCTTACACCTGCAAACCAGAAAAACCTTTCTCAGGTGCTTGTAGTTCATTATTCCTTTTTTTCAACTCTATCTTCCAGGTCATGATGTTCCTAGAGAGGATCACCTGAGGAGACTGAATGTTGATGAACTTCCCAAGTATTCAGGAGGGGGCTGCACTTGGGTCCAGGAGCTGAGACACACAAAAGGCTACAGCCTAGGTATGTTCACAATATTGAGAAGAATCATCTTCTCAAATCCATCAGAACATGTTGGGGAGCAGTGTGGTGTACAGATTAAGGGTTTTCAACTCAGACATAATGGCACAGTGGGTTGGACCACTACCTACGATGCTGGTTGCTCCATTTCTGATCCAGCTCTGTGCAAATGCACCTGGGGAAGCAGCAGAAGATGGCTCAAGTGTGTGGACCCCTGCACCCGTGTGGGAGATCCTGATGGAGTTCTAGGCTCCTGGCTTAAGTTTGACCTATCCCCAGTTATTGTATGACCATTTGAGGAGTGAAACAGCAGATGGAAGATCTCTCTCTTTCTCTAGCTGCTTTCAAATAAATAAATAAATAAATCTTAAAAAATAAACAAAATGATTCTCAGTTATAATACCAGCTTTCATCTTTGCAAAATGGCATACATGCAAAGTGACTCATGGTTTTACTGCAGTACTGTTTAGAGTAACAAATGACTAGGAATGTATGAAGTATTCATTAATAGGGGATTAATTAAATAAGTAATGTTAAAACCACATGAACAGGTACCCAAGCGGAAAAGCAAGATACAGGGCAGGGTATAAAGGATGTTACCCCTTGTGAAAACAAAAAGTATGTATATGTTTGTGTCGGGGAGAGATATGTTTATTTCATATTTGCTTGCTTAGGAAGCAAGAATACCTAGGGAAGAATACTCAAGAAACTAATTAGGAGGCTGGCACTGTGGAGTAGTAGGCTAAGCCTCCACCTGTGCTGCTGGCATTCCAAATGGGTGCTGGTTTGTGTCCTCACTGCTCCTCTTTGGATCCAGCGCTTTGCTTGTGGCCTGGGAAAACACTGGAAGATGGCTCAAGTGCTTGGGAGACCTGGAAGAAGCTCCTGCTTCTGGCTTCAGGTAGGCCCAGTTCTGGCCATTGTGGCCACTTGGGGACTGAACTAGTGGATGAAAGACCTTTCTCTGTGTCTCTCCCTCTTTCTGTCTGTAAATTTACCTCCCAACTAAATTAATAATAATTATAATAAAAACTAATTAGACTGCATGTGGGAGGGGAAGGAAAGGAGAGAGCTGAAACAAATTTTAAAGAGAAACTTTGTGTTTTTTTTTTTTTTCAATTTTAAACTATGTGACTCTGTCACCACTTCAAAACTTAAAAAATAATTTGTAAAGAAAAAGTAAGGAGCTACCTCGGGAGAAAACTTACAAAAATAAAAAAAAAGAACCTCAACTTTCCTCTTTACTAGCCATGTAGCCTTAAACAATTTCTTTAACTTCTATGGGGCATAGTGTCCCTATGTATAAATAAGATAACAACATTACTTCTCACCTACTTTTGTATAAAAACTAAATGATGAAATACATGACAGGATCTCCAAAAAGTTCATGGAAAATGGATATTATGAAAAAGTGATATGTGGATTTCAACTTTTAGCAGGAAAACAAACATCTTTTAATTTTATTTTCCATGAGTTTTTGAAGTTTCCTCATAAATGTTCATTAAAGCATTCAACTGAATATTTACATTAGTTAAACCAAACCTGACACATAAAATCTAGTTAAATATTAGCTATGAACATTATATTTATTGAGGTTCTGGTCATGAAGGCACTATTGAGAGGAGACAAAGATAACAAGTAAATGCAAGTTATATACATATACATATACATATACATCCATTCCCCACTTTAGTTACCAGGAATTCCATTCTTCCAACAGTTCAAACCAAAAATCTGTAGTCTCCTGAATCTTCTTTCTTTTGAATCCCACATTCAAAATCTGTTGACTTTATCTTTAAAATGTTTCAGAATCCAAGCCTTTCTCACCACTTCCTTCTATACCACCACAGTCCAAGCCATCATCTTCTCTTGCCTGGCCTTCTGCAATAGTCCCCTCAGCTTGTCTCTTATAGGACCCCACCCTCTGCCCCACCTGCTGGATTTCTGTTTTTTATACAGCATCCAGGTAATCCTCTGCTCAAAACACATCAAAGATGGCCTGAGTTACCCATATCAGATCCAAGTAAAACATGATTTAGCCGCAGTGCATCCTTGATCTCAATTCCTACTCTTTTCCTCCTTGCTCCAAGTAGGCCACATATATTGGCCTCCTTGCCACCCCACAAGCATGCCAAGGTAGGAGATCATCACGCATCACAAACAATGAGAACTCTGGGGCAAGCACTGTGGCACAGCAGGTTAAGCCACCTCCTGGGACACCTGTAGCTCATTTCAGAAAGCTGGTTCAAGCCCATTTCTGATCCAGCCTCTGCTTACTGTATCTAGAAAAGCATCAGATGATGGCCCAAGTGCTTAGGTCTCTGCTACCCATGTGGAAGACCCAGGTGGAATGTCTCTCCCCATCTGTCACTCTGCCTTTCAAATAAATAAATGAAACTTTTAAAAAAAGAGAACAGATGCCAGCGCCATGGCTCAATAGCCTAATCCTCTGCCTGCAGCACCGGCACACCGGGTTCTAGTCCCAGTCAGGGCGCCAGATTCTTGTCGCTCCCCCTCTTCGTGGAGGAGCAACACAGGACCCTGCGCTGTTCTTTCGTCTGCTCGGCCCTCCCCGGGTTTGCTGCTGGTTCTTCCCGGGTTGGCTACTATCCCTTCCACCTCCGTGGAAGGGCAGTTCCCCCTGGCCGCATTCCCCACTTCTGCAGGGGAGCGGCACACCGCCGGCCGGTTCTCTCGGGGGCTGCACGGGTTCCCTTAGATGTTCCCCATAGATGTTCCCGGTGCATGCCGTCTCTCTCCTCCTTTATAGTCCTCCTCCGCCAATCCCAACTCGGCTGCCCACACGCCGAGTACGCTGCTCTCCAATCAGGAGCAAGTCCTACAGTTAATTGGTTGAACTGGAGGCAGCTGTGCGGAAGCTGTTTACTTCTCTCCCAGCGCCATATTGTGGGAGAGCAGATGCATAGAATAAGTCTTAATTCCAGTAACTTAGTCCAGTCCGGATGCTCCCCACAATTCTGTCCCGGTTGCCCCTCTTCCAGGCCAGCTCTCTGCTGCGGCCCAGGAGTGCAGTGGAGGATGGCCCAAGTGCTTGGGCCCTACACCTGCATGGGAGACCAGGAGAAGCACCTGGCTCCTGGCTTCGGATCAGTGCGGTGCGCCAGCCATAGCAGAGAGCTGGATGGGAAGTGGAGCAGCCGGGACTAGAACCAGTGCCCATATGGATGCCGGTGCTTCAGCCCAGGGCGTTAACCCACTGCGTCACAGCACTGGCCCTGCATTTCTTTTTTTAAGGAATAAAATATTCCATTTTATTTTATTTTTATTTTTGACAGGCAGAGTGGACAGTGAGAGAGAGAGACAGAGAGAAAGGTCTTCCTTTGCCGTTGGTTCACCCTCCAATGGCCGCTGCGGCCGGCGCGCTGCGGCCCGCGCACCGCGCTGATCCTATGGCAGGAGCCAGGTACTTATCCTGGTCTCCCATGGGGTGCAGGGCCCAAGCACTTGGGCCATCCTCCACTGCACTCCCTGGCCACAGCAGAGAGCTGGCCTGGAAGAGGGGCAACCGGGACAGAATCCGGCGCCCCGACCAGGACTAGAAACCGGTGTGCCAGTGCCACAAGGCGGAGGATTAGCCTATTGAGCCGCGGTGCTGGCCAAAATATTCCATTTTAAAAATTCAACTATACTTCACATGAAAACTCCTGTCAATTTATTTAGGACCCACAGAGTGCCAGATACTGTGAAAAGCATTATAACATTGTTCATGCTCTTTTAGAGCAAAATTGACAGACCTAGCTCAGTCTCTGTCATTTTGTCTCTCTGTCTCTCTGCTTTTCGAATAAAATGAAAGTTTTTTATTTGATTAATACTTTGAAAGGCAGAATGATAGAGAAGGAGAGAGATCTTACATTAGCTGGTTCACTCCCCAAATGCCCACAACTGGTGGGCTGGGCCAGGCCAAAGTCAGAAACTAGGAACTCCATCTAGGTTTCCCATGTGGGTAACAGGGACTTAAGTACATGAGACATCATCTGCTGCCTACCAGTCACACTAGCCAAAGGCTGAATTGGAAGCAAAGTAACTAGGATTTGAACTAGCACTCCAATGTGGGATGCAGGCATCCTATCAGTGGCTTAACCCACTGCCCCACAACATCCATTCCAAACTGCGTTTCTTAAAGGAAGATGTCTTCATGTTTTCTGACAATATAACTGAAAAATGAAAATCTCAAAGTTGTTCAGACACTCCATCCATTATCCCAATTTGTTCTTTGTTTTCTAAATAATCAGAAACTTGGAAGTAACTGACTTTATTTTCATCTGCAGTACATTTATAAACCACAGTATTTTCGCAGGGATGCAGCCTTTGTCGGCATGGCTTTTGTTAAAGCCTCTGAGGGCATGCCCTCATCCAAAACCTCTACCACCACCTCTGAGATTCCTGCAGCCTCCCCTAGGAAATGGTTGTTGTTGCTCCTGTCACTTTTATTAGGGCCATCCCTGCCACTACCCTGATTAAAGCAACCACGACTTCCGCCTCAAAAAGATATGATCTCTTCTACTACTGGCGCCACATGTACTTCTGGCCCCTACCATGCTTGCACCAGCACTTCATGTTTTTTTTTTTTTTTTAAAGATTACTTATTTATTCACTTTTTTTTTTTTTTTTTTTTGACAGGCAGAGTGGACAGTGAGAGAGAGAGAGAGAGAGAAAGGTTTTCCTTTGCCGTTGGTTCACCCTCCAATGGCCGCCGCGGCCGGTGCACAGCAGATGGCGCACCGCGCTGATCCGAACGAAGCCAGGAGCCAGGTACTTCCTGCTGGTCTCCCATGCGGGTGCAGGGCCCAAGCACTTGGGCCATCCTCCACTGCACTCCTGGCCACAGCAGAGAGCTGGCCTGGAAGAGGGGCAACCGGGACAGAATCCGGCGCCCCGACTGGGACTAGAACCCGGTGTGCCGGCGCCGCAGGGGGAGGATTAGCCTATTGAACCATGGCGAAGACTGCACTGCATGTTTTCAATGTGTTTCTTCCCCATAATTCTAATTGTATTTGTCTGCTATTGTTTTAGGTCTATTGTTGAGGCAGTGAGGAATATTTAGGATTTAACTGGACTTCTCATTTCCTGACAACAAGCATAAAAGAGGCAAATAGAAGCCTTTTGCTGAAAGGCTTTTTTGATCTATAAAAATGATAACTCTTTAAATGATTTAATTATTTTTAATTTTAAAGGCAGAGACAGAGAGTGATTTCCTTCCTTGTACTTGTTTACTCCCCAAATGCATACAACCATGGACAAAGACAGGAACCCAGAATTCAGTGTGGGTCTTCCCTGTGGGTGGCAGGTACCCATGTATGTGAGCCAACTCCTGCTGCCTTCCAGGGTGTGCATTAGCAGGAAGCTGGAACCCTGGCACTCTATCATGTAAGGGATGTCTTTATTTTTTTTTAAGATTTATTTTACTTATTTGAAAGGCAGTTCCAAAGAGAGGTAGAAACAGAGAGAGGTCTTCCATCCGCTGGTTCACTCCACAGATGGCCACAATGGCCAGAGCTGAGCCTAATCGAAGTCAGGAGCCAGCAGCCTCCTCCGGGTCTCCCACGTGGGTATAGGGCCCAAGGACGTGGGCCATCTTCCACTGCTTTCCCAGGCCATATCAGAGAGCTGACCAGAAAAGGAGCAGCTAGGACTAGAACCGGTGCCCATATGGGATGCCGGCACTTCAGGCCAGAGCTTTAATCTGCTGTGCCACAGCATCAGCCCCTCCAAGGGATGTCTTAATTACTACATCAAGTGCCTGCCTCAGAAATATATGCTAAGTAATCCATTGGTGGGTAAATAAAAGTGCAATGCTATAATTCAACCTTCATCTGATGAAACCAAAGTTCATTATGAGAACATGATTACACTCAAGATGTTGTTCAGAAATGTTGTGTG